GTTCCAGCAAGCAGCTGACCAGCTCCTTGTTTGGCTTCCATGGGAGAAACTTACTTCCCGCGCGCAAGAAGTCTTGAGCCAAAAGCCGGATATGAGTCTGTCGTTCGACAATGCTGGCCAGCTGAAGTTGAATCGCAAGCTTCAAGACTCCCAATGTGATCTCAACGGCGAACTTCAAATTCGCCAGGCGTTGAAGCGCAGAGCGCTAGCATATGACCTTGCAAAGCTCTGCGACTTTCAGACTATGGAGGCCTACCGCGAGGAAAGGTTTGCTCTCCTCATCAGGGAACCTCCTGTAGGTTCTCTGAGCATTACTATGGCCCAGTTGCGCGAATCAGATAAACAATTGTTTCTGCAAATCTCAGATCAGGTTCGAGGTGCCCTGACAATACAGCCAGATGGGACTAAACCCATGCAGAAGGCGCTTCTTGCCCTCAAAGACCATCCGCAGGTGCAGTTTTGCCTGATTCCTGCTCCCAAACCTTCGGCAAGGTTCACCCCCTATGAGTTAGGGGCAGGCAAAGGAAATAAAGGCAAAGGTAAAGGAAAAGGTTCGGCAAGCAAAGGTAAAGGTGCCACCTCCTCCTGTACAATTGCCAGCAGGCTGTGTATCCAAGACCCGCGATGGCAAGCCCCTATGCTACCCTTACAACGGAGAGGGTTGTCGATTTGCCAAGGACGGCCGACGATGCCGCCGTGGATTCCACCTCTGCTGGAAGTGTCTGCAGCCGCGCTCATATTCGGCTTGCCCTGCTAAGGGCGGAGCCTGAAACACCATTCCTTCCGCCTCCCATGTGAAGCAGAGCTCTGTCCCTGCTGAGGAGGAAGTGCCCTCTCCTATGATGCCAGAATTCATCCTGCCGAGGCCCAGGCTCTTCTTTCTTTCTCAGCGGAGCCCACACGAGAGGCCGTAGTTTCAGTCTTTGACCTTCTGCCCGATGAAGGGTCCGGTCGTGGCCCTTCTCATGGTTCCAGCCATTCATTCGTCACTGGGGCCTGGGTACATGGAAACATGACAGGTGTGCACAAGAATGTTACCTTGTACCCGCATGCAATCAAGCTTTTCACATCTTTTGTGCGTGCACACGCTCCTGCATCTTTCAAGTTCAGCAGCCTTGCCATTTTCAGCAACATTCGTGCCGATCTTCATTTCGATAAAAAACAACCTTGCTGCATCAGTGAATGCCGTGTTCCCCTTGAGTTGTTTCCAGAAAGGGGGCATTTGGTGTGAATCTCCCAACGGCACTGTAGCCCAAGTCTTCTCAGGCCAAACCCTTCTCGGGCATGTGCTAGACGTCTCCTCTGGAGTTGTACTTTTCAATGCTCGAGAGCAGCGACATTGCACCATGCCATGGGACGGGGATCGCACCGTCCTCGTTGCCTTTTGCGCCCGTGGCTCTGACTGCCTTGATGCTGCCCATTCTTCTGCCCTCTCCCATTTAGGGTTTAGGATCCCGACCCCTGGGGTTGATTTAAGGGGTTTGTGCACCAAATCCCAACCTTCTGCATCCGCTAAGCGTCCCAAAGTCGCCCCTGAAGCATCAACTCCCGCCTCTTCAGGCTTGTTTGTGGAGGTCTTTGCAGGTTGCGCCCGCTTGTCAGCAGCTTTCGAAGCCTCAGGCATGCGTTCATTAGCTGTGGATGGCCCACGGAATGAACATGTTCCGGAATGCTGTGTGTGGACGCTTGACTTGGTTCAGCCCCTTTGCCAGCGGCTGTTCCTGGCACGCCTTAACCATGAACCCGTGTCTGCAATCCATTTTGGGTTGCCATGCGGGACTGGATCCCGCGCGCGCGAATGCAAGGTCGCGCAGCACTTGGTGGCGGCGGGCGCTCCGACCCCGCGCCCATTGCGGTCCGCAGCTCATGTCCTTGGGATTCCAGGCCTTAACGCCATTGAACAGGCAAAGGTGGACTCATCAAACGCCCTTACCGCATTTTGCGTGGAAATCTTGCGCCTGGCTTTTCGCCGCGGATGGAAAGTCATAGTGGAAAATCCCACGCGTTCGTGGTTATGGGCAGTGCTGGCATACTACGTGCGCCTGACGAAGGATGAGCCCTTCATCTCATGGTATTGTCATTTGTCTGTAATCGACTTTGACATGTGTATGCATGGAGGCACGCGTGACAAACGGACTCGTTTTCTTACCTCTGCTCATGAGCTCAACCGTCTTGCTTTGGATTGCGACAAGAGTCATCAGCACCAATCGTGGAGCGCGCGCCAAATTGCCTCCATTTGGACATTTGATACAAAGGCGGAGGCCGAATACCCCCTCATCCTCTGTCAGCGCTATGCTGCTGCCCTGTGTTCCCAACCCGTGCCCGCCACTCAGAGCAAGCCTCTTCTGCGGCAGTCGCGCAGCCAACCTCCGCTTGTGCCCGAGTATAAGTGCTTCCTGAAGCATGCCCCCGCCAACGCTGATTTTCGCCAGCTTGATCTCCATATGGGGAAGTCCGGAAGTGGCTCAACTTTCGCTGTGTACCATTCCAAACAGGAGTTTGTGGACAAAGCCATTTCTGCTGGACACCCTTTTCTTGAAGCCAGACCCATCGATGATAAGCTCAAACGTAATGCCTTTTTCATCTTGACTGAGGGCCTCTCCTCTGTGGCAAAATTCCGCATAACCTCCATCCAGAAGCTCTCTAAAATGAAGCAAGAGCTTTCCAACGAGGAGCGCAGGTATCAAGCCACTCTCCCGCTTCATGCCCAACAGATGTTGAAAGGGAAATCTATCCTCCTTTGGAGAAAGCTTCTAGATGATACGGGTTTTCCCGACAAAGGTGTCAAAGAGCTTATTGAAGGGGTTGTGTTGGTGGGCAAACCCTCCAAATCTGAGCTTTATGGCTGGAAGGAGGTTCCCGCTACCGCTTCAGTCGATGATCTTCTTGCCTCCTCTCCGTGGAGAAACGTTGAAGTTGCATCCAGGGATAACCCAACAGTCAGCTCAGCCAGCGTACAGGCTCTTTGGGATATCACTGTGAGTGAAGTTGCCAAAGGCTTCCTGGAAGGCCCATTCGATGATCTCGAATCCGTTAGTCGTCGCTTCTTGCTAGAGCAAGGTTCCCCTGAAGCTCCGAAACAGAGGCCCATCGACGATTACAGAGATTGTGGAGTCAATTCTGCTTATCATGCCTTGGATAAGCTTGCTTTGCACGATGTTGATTACATTGCACATGTCTGCCAGAGCATCACCTTAGCCGTAAGCGGTCGCGATGTCACCTTCACTTTATCAAGTGGAGAAAAGTTGGTAGGTGCTCTGCATCGTGACTTCTGAAGGCCGCTGTCTCGATCTCGAGCGTGCCTACCGACAGGTACCCGTCCTGGAGAGCAATCTCAGGTTTTCAGTCATTGCAGTACCGCATCCTGCTTTGGGCCAGCCAAAATACTTCCTGTCTAACTCGCTACCTTTCGGCGCAGGCGCGAGCGTCTTCGGATTTAACAGGCTCTCCAGAAGCCTCCTCCACCTATCACTGCACTTTGGAAAGGTCATCGGAGGTGTCTTCTATGATGACATCCCCCTTCTCGAACCGAAGCTGACATCGCGCTTGTGCTCACTGACCATCGAGGGAATCTTGGACATCCTGGGGTGGTCGTACTCGCGCGACCCTGCAAAATACAAGCCTTTCTGTGAGACGTTCTCCCTACTCGGCATGCGGCTTAACGTTGGCTCGCTCTCTAAAGGTTTCATCACTCTTTCCAACAAAGAATCCCGTGTAAACAGTCTCTTGGAGGAAGCGAGCTGCCAAGCAAGAAGGTACTCTCAGCAGAGCTCATGCTTCGAGCCTACACGGGAAACTCAATTTCATGAACTCGTTCGTTGCGGGCCGCTGCCTCAAGACCGCTTGTAGGGCACTAGCGAATGTAGCGCATGGCCCGAGAATCCCTGCCATGTCCGAGCTTAAATCCTTGGGATCGTATTTGGAAAGTTGTCTGCGACAGCTTGCAGGCCGAGTCATTCATGTGGGCAAGGCGATCCCGCCGCTCATAGTCTTCACGGATGCAGCCTTTGAAGACGGCGCCGCTACTTGGGGTGTTTGCATCGACCTTCATTCTGGAACGAGATTCGTGTCGGGGGGAATCATTCCCGATGCAGCCGTCGCTTCCTGGCAAAAAGATGGCTCATCTCAGATCATTGCCCAAGCCGAAGCATTGGCCCTGTTGCTAGCCCGGCGCGTGTGCAAGCCGCTTCTCCGTGACCGCTTGGTCACCTTTTACATCGACAACGAGTCGACTAGGTTCGCGGTTATTAGGGGAAGTAGTCCTTGCCGTTCGCTCCTGCGCATTGTCACCAAATTTCTAGAATGCGAGCTGGAGGATGGAGCCATCCCGTGGGTTGAGCGGGTACCGAGCGCTAGTAATATAGCGGACCTCCCGACTAGGGATGGCTGCGGAGGCCGCTGATCTAGTTGGTGGCAAGGTGGTTGATCATTCGCGCGAAGCCTGCTTGCTATCGTCCGAACTCGTCAGAACCGCTGACTTGCCATGGGATCTCCTGTCAACCTGCTGCAAGGCCCGCTTGCCAACTTTCAAAAGTTGATGAGCTACGGACGTTATGCTTGGGTAGATTCGGGTCCGTTTGGCCAGTCCTGGGAGGACGTTGGGTCAGGATGTATGTTCCGAGTGCCATGGGGTAAGTGGGAGAAGCAATTTGCATGCACCACAGGACTGCCCCATGACCAAGCTGTCCGCTTCACGAAGTTAAAAAGAGTGAATCTTGAGCTGCAACTTTCCGCACATACTGAATATGCTTGACTCTTTTGTTTTATATTTCGTGATTGATGATTCAATTAATTTTGAAGTTTTGACAAATCTTAAAGACTGTCAAAGGCCTGAAGGCCTGAAGGTGGCGTCTACCAATTTCTTTGATGACTTCGTCTTGTTAGCCTTGGAGATCGACATAAAGTCGGCTTGGACGTCCTTCGAAAGACTCATGAAGTTGCTGGGCTGGAAGTTGTCTGAGGACAAAACAACTGACTGGTCGGCGGAGTTCGAAGCCCTTGGGGTAGTGTTCGACCTGACGGACGCCGTGTCAGGGGTGGTCAAGATAGGGAACACAGACAGGCGAAAAGAAGAGATTATTGCAAAGCTGAACGAAGTTTGCTCCAGAGGAACCTTGACACAGAAGGAAGCCATGCAGCTTAGAGGCAGGATGCAGTTTGCTGAAACACAATGCTTTGGCAGGCTGGGCAGGACTTTGCTCAAGCTCGTTACCAGCCACGCTTACTCTGGCTCCATGTTCGTTTCGAAGAGATTGAAGGGTGCCTTGTTGGACTTCGCAGCTTTGCTAAGGGACACTAGGCCAAGATTGATCGGAGCAATCTCGTGTCGATCCTTCATGTTGCTGACTGATGCCTTCTACGACCCAGGAGAAACTCCGGCCGCAGGTTTGGGAGGAACAATCCTCACGGGACATGGCGCTGCCTTGATTTACTTCTCTGTCAAAGTGACAGAACAGGATTGTGCTAAACTCGCTCTGAACGACGAGGCGACCGTCATTTATGAGCTTGAACTCTTGGCTGTACTCGTTGGTTTCCTGGTCTTTAAAGAATGGAGCAAGGGAGTGGAACCCCAACACGAAGGAATAATGGCCGGCATCGGTATTGTGTCTTACATTGATAACGATGCCGCACGGTTTGCCTTGATCTCGGGAATCTCTAAAAAGGACATTGCAGGTTTGATCGTGGAAGAGGTAGCTTGTGTCGAGAGTGAGCTCGGCGTCGCGCCTTGGTTCGGCAGGGTAGGCACCGAATCTAACTTGGCGGATGAACCTTCAAGGTTTGTCACGAAGCTCGTTGAGGAGCTTGGGTTCAAGGATTGGTCAGAGAGGGCCGCGCAAGTGTCAGGCCAGTTTTTCTCAAAGATCGCGGCCTGGACGGCAAATGATGGAAAGTGGGGATGAGCATTCGCCGTCCCGTCGCGGATAGTTTGTGCCTTCTTGTCTGGGCACGTTGACAATGTCAATGAAAAGGGCATGAGCTGAACATGGTTCAGACAGAACGATTCGGAGAGAGATGATTCGCCCCACTGTGGGAAAAAAGTCCGAGGGAATGGGGACGAAGACGATTTGCATTGCTTGACACTTTTGACGTTTTGTGTTAACCTTATTGAACGGCTCAAGCACGGTCCTTTGAGCAATA